AATGTATATGTATTTATTGAGTTTTTATTAAATTGTGTTTTAATAAAATTTGGAATTGGTTTGATTACAGTGTTGAGAATAGGTTGCAGTGGGACAGAGACCTAAGTAAGGCAGTCCATACAGTAATCCACATAGCAGCAAGAATGGAAAGTGGAAGAAATCTATATATTTAAAAGGGAGAATAGATGGGATATATTGATGTATTGGACATGGAGCGAGAAGGGGAGACTTTAATCAAGCATGACACCACAAGATACTTTGCAGAAACTACTAGAAGGAGGGCATGGTAGTTTTCTTAGATGGGCAAGACAAGAGGGCCAGGCTTATGAGGGAAGTGTCTGTGGTGCAGTTCTGTAAGCTGGAGGTGGATATTAGGGAAGTAAGTGATTGGATAGTGTGGCAGTGGTACTCTGAGTCTAGAGTTCAAGAGTGCCAGTTTGGAACACTTAACTATTTAAACATGTGAAAGCGAGCTCACTGAGAAACTAAGTTTAAATAGAAAGGAAGCCTTAGATCACACCATCATTCACAGGTCTAGGAGGGGAAATGCCCCCAAGGGTTTCTGATGCTCCGGGATGAAAAAAAATTATAATTATTTCATTTTAAAAAGAGGCTTTGTTTAGATATAGCCCAGTATAATTCACCTGTTTAGGGTTACAGTTCATGAATCTTAGTGTCTTTGTAGTTGTATAGCTCTCACCAAAATTTTGAATATTTCTATCACCCTCTTCAAAGAAACCCATACTTTTCCATCCCTGGGGAATTCCTCATTTCCTGCCTACCCTCCCATAAGTAGACAGCTGCTAATCTACTTGCTTTGTGTGCTTATTCTGTATATTTCATATCAGTAGAATTGTGTAGTGTGCTATACTGAAAGAGAAGTCATAGCCATTAAGACCAAGTTTCTGTATTCATTTGATTTTACCATACTTGGGAAAGGTGGGGGTAGAAGAACTCTGCGTTGCAAAGATATATTTTCCTGTTTGTGATTAGTAAGAAAACTGGGGTGATATTTTGAGATTATATGATTATTTGTTGATGTGATGCTTTCAGTGCTTGTTGGGATCACACACAGTGGTGATTTGCTATTGCCATTATGTTTTCAAACATTCAGAGTTTCCAGAATTTCAGATTCAGATCCGTTGTAAAGAGATTTCCCTTTTCTGTTTGCCCTCTTTTAGGCTCTCTAGCTGTAGTGCTTTTCTGTGAGGAAGCACACAAAGACTGCTTGTACTGTTTTCTGAACAATGTCTATTTTTTGACTCTTTGATTCACTTTTTTGTTGAACTTTTGATATATTATCCTTGATACTAAGTAGCCCTTTGTGGAATAAATTGCAAACATATTCTGTTGGCTTTGATTATGCATGGTAGTTTTTGCCATTCAAATTCTTTAAAAATATTTGTAGTTATTTATCAATGATTTCTTAAAATTGCTACAAACTGTTTTGTTTCTTTGAGACAGGGTCTCATAGCCCTGTCCTGGAACTCACTATATAGATGAGATTAGTCTTGAACTCAGAGACCTGCCTGCTTCCGCCTCCAAAGTGCTGGGATTAAAAAAAAGGCATGCACCATCACACCAGGGTCAAGATTGCTACTAACCTTTAACTTTGCTTTTTGATGTTAATTCTCCCTCTTTTGCCCAGTTCCAAGCAACTAGAATTGTATTGTATATTGTGCAGCCCTTTGTGCCAGGCTTTTTTTCTGCTTAGTATAAGGATTTTGAGATTCATCCAAATTGCTGAATGTCAGTAATTACTTTGTACTATAACAGTATTCCATCATTACTGTGCTGCATTTATTGTCTATTGACTTGCTGAGGTATATCTTTGTGTCTAGTTTATAGCTTGTAAATAAGGCTGCTCTGAGGGTGGTCAGTCATTCTGTGCTTACATGTTTTCATTTCGATTGGGCTGATATGTGGGATGGGATGGGTGGGCCACAGGGTTGAACTATGTCTGAAGTGACTCATCATTTTATATTTCCCATAAATATTGTGTAAATAAATTGTGCATCTTTTATGTTTTTTAAAGATTTATTATGTGTGCATGCACTCCAGAAGAGGTCACCAGATCTCACTGTAGATATGGTTGTGAGCCACCTTGTGGTTGCTGGGAATTGAACTCAGGACCTCTGGAAGAGTAGCCAATGCTTTTAACCTCTGAGCCTTCTCCCCAGCCCCTTTTTTATGTTCTTGATGCTACATTGTATTGCCAGTGTGCTTCATTTTAGCTGTTCTGTTGAGTATATATGGTAATTTGCTTAAACTCAGCTGAGTTGTTGACTCTGGACACTTACAGGATTTTGAGTGAACAGACCTTCTTTTGATTTGGAATTTCTGGTTTGTATTGTATGGATATTTTTAACATTATTAGAAGTCAGGCAGTGGTGGTGTACAACTTTAATCGCAGCATTTAGGAGGCAGAGGCAGGGGAAGCTATGATTCAAGGCCAGCCTAATCTACAGAGTAAGTTCCAGGCCAGCCAGGGCTACAGAGAGAAACCCTGTGTTAAAAAAACCAAAACAACAAAGACAAAACAAACAAACAAACAACCCCCTCCCATTATTAGAAGATGTTGCTAATTAGTTTGCACCCCAGCAGTGGGTATGAAAGCTCACTTGTCCCACACTCCCAATAGCGGGTATCAGGTGCGTTGTTGGTTTTGTTTGGGCTGCCTAATAAGAGCATATCAGAGTTGTGTATAGAAAGCTGTCCTGCTTTTCTGAATAATAGTGAGCATTGTTTTCTGTACATCCTTGTTAGCTGATCTGCTAAGCTTTTTGCCTGTTTTACTATTTGTCTTATTGAATTGTAACAATGAACTGTTCTTAGTTCATTGTGGTTCTTAGCACCACAGACACTTCCCTCATAAGCCTGGCCCTCTTGTCTTGCCCATCTAAGAAAACTACCATGCCCTCCTTCTAGTAGTTTCTGCAAAGTATCTTGTGGTGTCATGCTTGATTAAAGTCTCCCCTTCTCGCTCCATGTCCAATACATCAATATATCCCATCTATTCTCCCTTTTAAATATTTTAAATATCCACTTTCCATTCTTGCTGCTATCTGGATACCTAGTTGATTAGGTATCAATTATCTGATAGAGGTATACTGTCTACTTCCATGTTTGGGACTTCTTTTTCTTTTTTTTTTGCACAGGTGGGGGTAGGACCCAGGTCCTTGCACAAGCTGAGTGATATGCTGAGCTAGTACTGTAACACTTTTAAACATGACTATGCAGTGCACAGCAGAGGCTGAAGAGGGCATCAGATCCCCTGAAATTAGAGTTACAGACAGTCCTGAGCTCTCAGGTGCAATGAATTGAACTGGTCCTCTGGAGGAGCAGCCAGTGCTGTTTAGTACTGAGCCGTCTTCTAGCTCCTCTAACAGGGTAAATCTGTAGCTTCTCTTTATTTTCTAAAGAAATTCCCCAGGTTGGCTTTTACTGATTAGATTTTTGTGGAGCAGTTCAGTATCTTCCTCTGTCTTCTTTGTTTCTTTGTAAATTGGTAGTTGACTGTAGGAGAATCTAGTAACTTGAACAGATTTATATAAAATTTTTTCTTAGGTGAAAATCTTAGGTTTCATGGGTGATGTTTGAATGTCTTCCCGGTTCATCTTGCTTTGTTGTTTAGCTGTATATTCAGACTTATTTTATTTGGAACAATTTAAAGCGTGCTTGATAGAAATCTAGTGCCTAGGAATCTGTGTTTAAACGTTTGTTATTTTCCTGTTGTCTTTTTTTTGTTCCTTTTCTTTTTGTCAGATTTATTTTTATTTATTATTTATATAGTATTCTGGTTGTGTGGCCAGAAGCAGGTACCAGATCTTATCATACATGGTTATGAACCACCATATGGTTGCTGGGAATTGAACTCAGGGCCATTGGAAGACCAGCCAGTGCTCTTAACCTCTGAGCCACCTCTATAGCCCATTCGATTCTTCTTGAGACAGCATCTCTCCAGCCTGCTTTGGATGTCCTGGAACTCTATGCAGACTAGTGCCTGTCACTACCGTGGAGTGCTGGGATTTAAAGGCGTGTCGCTACATCTGGCCTTTTTGCTATCTTAGTTGGAAAGCTCACTTTCCCTGTTGTTGTTGACTTCTGAGAAATGGAGGTGCTGGGTGCCTGCTCATAGGATTGCTTTGAAGATTAAGATTATCTTTGAAGAGAACCTGCTATAGAGGCTATCCCACAGTGGTGGTCAGTAATTGTTAGCTATTGTTGTGTGAGTTTAAAAATAGTCTAAGGGATTGGAGAGCTGGCTCAGAGCTTTAAGTGTGTACTGTTCTAGCAGAGGACAGAAGTTCGAATCCTAGCACTCATACCAGGCAGCTCATAGCTTCAGGGGATCTGACACTGTCTTCTGGACTCAACACCTCCACTTGCATGTACATACCCCCATACACAGACACACACACACACACACTTAATTAAAAATAAAACAAATCACTCAGGCATAGTGGCACATGACTTTACTCTCAGCACTCAGGAGGCAGAAGCATGAGGATCTCTGTGAGTTGGAGGCCAATCTGGTCTACATATTATTGAGTTTTAGGCCAGCTAGGAATACATAGTGAGACCTTGTATTATAGTGAGAACAAACAAAAATAAATCTTAAAAAAAAATTAAAACCATGAAATAATCTTGAACGGTAGATCATTTTGATTTATGAGGAAATTAAAATTTGAATGGCTAATTTTTTAGCTCACTTGGTTTTATTCAAGGGGCATATCAATTAAGTTATTTAACTGAGAGAATGGCTTTTCTTTGTCCTTACCAGTTTGAAGGTTGCTTTCGTATGCATTTATGCCAAACTGTAGTCCTACAGTGCTTTTTGCCAGTGTGTCTGATGTTGGTGTGCACTCTGTTAACTGGCCTCACCCGAATTGGAAAGTTGGCTGCTTGTGGAGTAGATTGTACTGTAGCCCAGGTTTAATCTTGTTCACTGAGAAGTTTTTTCTTCCTAGGAGCTTACTGTTAATGTTTTCATTTTACAGTGTAATGTTCAAGCTCAGAAATGCCTTATGTGGATCGACAGAATCGCATTTGTGGTTTTCTAGACATTGAGGAAAATGAAAACAGTGGGAAATTCCTGCGGCGGTATTTCATCCTGGATACCAGAGAAGACAGTTTTGTATGGTACATGGATAATCCACAGGTTTGTAAAAACTGGAGATTATAACAGCATAAAGTATTATTTATCATGGTATAGTATTTTATATAGACTATAAATTTGTCTTCCTTAACAGTACATATTTAGATTTATTTATACTCGTTTAACTTTCTCTCCCTGTTGGTACCTATAACCTGTACTCTTATTTGAACTTAAGGGTAAAATTAAGTTTGTTTGATTGAAATTAAAATTTATCTCTGAATATATGTTTCCTTCTTCTTGTGAGGAGACTACTGTTTCTAGTGGGAAATGTTTTGACTAATCGCAGATTTTAGATGTTCTGCCTAGGATTGCAGATGTTACCATTTGGAGAAATTACTGACCCTGCTTGATACTCTTTGATCATGTGGGGTCCACTTGAGTGTCAGTCATTTTGATGAGTCTGTGACGGAAATGCACTTTAATTTTGTTGTCTCCTTGTAAGTCTCTGGGGTAGTGTAAGAAGTTGAAAAGTAGAATCCTACTTTTAAGGGCTAAGAGATAGCTCATCAAGTAAAGATGCTGTGGCCAAGTCTCAGGACCTGAGCTCTGCTCCTGGAGTCTATATGGTAAAAGGAAACAGCAGACTCCCAAAATTTGTTCTCTGACCTCCACACATAAGCCATGATGTGCATGCCCTCCCTCCTAGCCTTTTGTCCCAATAGATATAATGTATTTTATTTATAAGTAGATAGATAGATAGATAGATGGATAGATGGATAGATAGATATTCAAGTTTTAAGATGGGGTGCGAGACCTAGAATTAAAAATCTGTTGAATAGTTGAAAACTTCCTGTTTGTGGAACTCTTCTTTCTTTCATTCTTTTAAAAGATTTATTTATTTATATGAATGCTCTGTCTGCATGTACGTCTATAAGTTAATAGACAGCCTCAGACCCCATTACAGATGGTTGTGAGCCACCATGTGGTTGCTGGGAATTGAACTCAGGACCTTTGGAAGAGCAATCAGTGCTCTTAACCACTAAGCCATCTCTCCAGCTCTGGAACTTTTTATTTCAAATAAAACTTATTCTAAAACTAAAAATGGGCATGGGTGTTGCAATGAAATATGTGGACAGTGAGGGATAAGTCTGGCCAGCTTTCTACCTTGTATGTGGATTGTATCACCTTGGGTAGAGTGGGGACTTTAGAAAGTTCACCTGCTTCACATAACCAGAAACAGATCGCCTGCAACTAGTCCTTGTTCATTGTTACCTATATGTATTTTGATATGGTAATGTGTAAGTATTTATAAAGACTGAGGATTGCAAAGGATTTTAGTATTAACTCAGTCTCTTCCTTAATGAAGGAAAGACATAGCTTGAATGGCACACTGCTAAAAACTATAGACTCTATTTGAAATTGTCAATTATTATTTTTTTATGAGCTAAAATCTAGTTCTTTGAAACTTCTCACCAGTCTTGATTTAACCCTCTCTCTGACTTTCTACCATGTAGGTTTAGCTCTTTATTTACAGGCAGTCTTTGAAATTTAAGTGGGTGAAATGGGTTATATTTTAACTCAGTTTATTTTATTTTATTTTTAATTTTATTTTATATGCATTAGTGTGTGCATCAAATCCCTTGGAACTGGGGTTACAGACAGTTGTGAGCTGCCATGTGGCTTCTGGGAATTGAACCTGGGTCCTTTGGAAGAGCAGACAGTACTCTTAACCACTGTCCCATCTCTCCAGCCCTTAACTCAGTTTATAGTAACTGTGTACTCACTTTGTATGAGGAGGCTTTTAGCTGGCAATGGCATTCTCTGTCACTGTCCGTGCAAACCTTATTGATACTTTGTTTTACTCCCTTATCCCTGTTCTGAGGACCTTTTTATGAGAAGCAGATAACCTGTCTGAGGAACTGCATGGTTATTATCTTCATTTACTTGGTCTGAGTCAGTGGGAGAAATAACAGGGCAGCAGAAATCAAAAGTTCAAGTTGATTTCTTTTCGTCAACATGTGAATCAGATTGTTGTCTTTTATGGTATGTTTAGCTGGGACATGATTCCCTCATAGATAAAACTGTATCTTTGCTAGGTCTCAGCTACTGGTGTCTGCAGAGCCAGGGCATTATGTTGTCAGTGGTTTCTTCCTCCTTGGCATCTATTCGCGAGGACCTTAGATATGGTTTTCCTGTATTCTGTATAAAACCTGTTTGTTTCTTGTGCAGATTCTTCTTACAGTTCTCCCTTTTACCAAACTTCTCCCTTAACAGATAGAAATACAGACAGATACAACATGAAGTATATTTGTTACCCTGTATGAAACACAGATTTGGAATTCAGAAAAAGGCATGATTACAACAAGCTGACATTGTAACAGCAATAGTAACATTTAAAATTGACCTAGAAAATTGATTTGACTTTGGCCCAAAGTTGGAGGACTAATGATTCCAGGATTCAGAGTAGCAAGGGCAGAGGAGTCAGTGTAGGAGCCTGCAGTGTGTTTGGATTAGTAGTCTGTCTCAGTAAGGAAGTGTCTTCTAAGCTTTGCACTCACCTTTTCATATAGACTTTTGTGCATAAGGGGTGTGTGTAAGGCAGGTCCCGGTGATCGCTCCAGCTGTGCTAAGCTTGGGCTGCCCCACTGAGCTATACTTCTATAGTTCAAGGCTTGCTTTGAACTCTTGATCTTCCTACTTCTATCTCCTGTGTGCTGGAATTACAGGAGTACACCACCACACTCGGCTCACTTGAATTTTTAAAAGACTTTTATCCTTTTTGTAATTAGTACATTGAGTTTTCTGAATATTTACATAATTTAAAGTCTTTTTTCAGTCCCTACAATTTTCTTTTTTCAGCTTAAGTGAACTTTTAAAAATCGTTTTTGTCAGACAGGATACTAGCCATTATTGCCAAATTTGTTTCACCTTTAAATGTAAAAACTAAGACATACCTCTTTCTGAAATCTTGCTGAGACTATTAGATTATGCTACCTGAAATGGCCAGTTTAGAGCCATTTTGAATTACTGAGTAACAGCAACTTCATACTTATGCGTGTCCCAGTGTGTAAGTGCTTTGGTAAAGGAGTTTGTCTCAGCTCTCCTTAGGGAGCCACTTTCTCTTTTTACTGCTTTCTTCATTACTAGCCTATTATAAGGACATTGTAGTCTAGTCTATTATAAGGACATGTTTTATGGCTGTGCTTTGCTGAGCATGTTGGTAATGATACAGAATTCATGAAATAGCTATACTAGGAAGTGAATTTGAAGAGATTGAAAAAGTTTGGTATTTGGTAAAAAGAGCTGAGAGGCTTGCAGGTCTATGCAATATAGGCTTTGACTTTTTAAACCTACTTTATTTGGGGTTCCTAAATGCCTCTACCTCTCTTCAAACTCCCTTACCCTAGGTAGGAGAAAAAGAAGGTTAGTAGGGACAGGGAATGTAGATCTCTTTAGACTTAGTTTCTTGGGGTGATTCCACTCTTCATAGTCAGGATTCCAGCAGTCCAGCCAAAGAGCAAACAGTAGCAGCAGAATGAGTCAGCAGCAGCCTCCTGAAAGCATTCTCCAGAGCATTTCTCGCTAGGAGCGAAAGCATCCCCTAACCCCAGCTCCTATTTATACCCTTTCAGAGTTCCGCATAAGCATGCTTTCCAACTGACAAATACCTCCCCCCACCCACAAGACAGTTTCCAGCTGGCAAAGATCTCTTGCCATCTAGCCTCTCACCAGGCTGATACCAGCTGTGGATAAACTAAAGCAGTCACACATCCAACACTTAGGATTACAACAAAAACATATTTGTATAACATAACTGAGATTTTAAAGAAACCAAAACATCCACCACAATACAGCATATTTCCTTTTTTCACTTTGAATGTCATACTAGTTTACTATTTCTTACTTTTGTCCGGTAACAGAGTTTGAGGCTCAGTTTTGTTTTCAGAATTTTCTGATTGAAAGCAATCACTACTGGGTATTTGAAAATGCTTTGTCTTCTAACTACTTTTATTTCCACCTGCCATGAAGCTGTGTAATCTGGGTTCCTGTGTGCCATAGTTTGGTTTCTTATTTTTCTTCCTCATACAAGACTTTGAGCGCTAACCAGATAAGTAAAATAATGGACTAATAGAAGTTTTAATAGAAAATGTTATTCTGAAGGGGATGTTATATTTATAATATATAATATGTATATATTATAATAATACAATATGTATATTGTTATGTGTTCTAATTTATATGTGTAAATATACATAATATATGATGTTATAGAATTATATAAACATATATGTTATATAACAGTTATATAAATGTTATCTTGAAGGAGAACAGTGTTTGAAAACTCACTTTGGTGATAGTTGAGTATTGCTGAGGATGTGTGTATATTTCAATTTTTTAATCTAATTTTTTTCTAACCCTGATCCTCTATTTTTAAGAAACTAAAACATTTGAACATAAAACACATGACTGTAACCTTTCAAACTTTAAGATTTATAATTTTTTTAAATTTTTATGTCTATTCCTTGTGGCCTATACTTGGGATTTTTGTGCATAGTGTATAGTTTTTTTTTGCTTTGTTTTGGCTTTGGCTTTTCAAGACAGGGTTTCTTTGTGTAGCCTTAGCTGTTCTGCACTCACTGTGTAGACCAGGCAGGTCTGGAACTCACAGAGACTCACCTGCCTCTGCCTCTGTGAGTGCTGGGATCACAGACATGCACTACCCACTACCATGCTTGGCTAGTGGATAGTTTAAAGCAAATCATAATGCACTCTAACTGTAGGAAGACTTGTTCCTGCCAACGCGTCCCAGTTCACGTTTGTTTTACCTATGAAAAGTTTAGTCTTCCAGGAACTCTCCCACTTAGTCATTAGAATGAACCTATAGGTTTGTTTCTTAATGTATACATTATTAAAGGTCAGTTTCAAAGGTGCATTCTGCCTGAACTGTGGCAGAGGGAGTTTTTAAAGTTGAGCGTTTTTGTTTTACTAAGATTGGGTTCATGACTTTCTCAGTGTCTTTCTTGATTGTATTGCTTTCATCTTCCCCTCTATAGTGTAAGTGCTATACTGTCTTCAACATGTGTTAAGTAAATCATTTTAATAATGAATCGTAGGCTTTTTCATTAGTTTCAGATTTTCAACAGAATAAACTTGCTTTGTTTTCTATTTAAACTCTCCAAGCCTGATTCTTAGTTTGAGATCTCAAGCCTCTATTTTCCTTTTGGTGTGTGGCAGCTCATCACTACTGTAGCTGTTGTTGCTGCAGTTTTGTGGTTCTTGAATTAAACGAGGCTTAAGGCAAGCTATGAAAGCACTCTGCTGAGTTACAGCCCCAATTCAGTTTGGTGGTGTTTACCTTTTTCTGTTTTGTTTTGGTTGTGCCTATGTACATCAGGCAGGTGTTTAACCCCTAGGTTATACTCCCAGCTCCCTAGTAACCATCTTCTACTTGGGACCAGCATCACCACTTCCGGTAGTAGTAGCAGCATGCTGAAGGCTTTGAGTTTACATGTTGTTCAGCCCATCACAGTGTTTTGTGATGCCGTCCAGCCATGAACAGCACAGCAGTTCCTCCTCCTCTTCTTCCTATTAGTACTACTTTTTTTTTTTTTTTTGAGACAAGGTCTCTTTCTGTAATCCTGATGGTTCTTTTATGATACAGATAAATCCTAATTTAAGAATAAAAGTATTGAGCTCAAGGCCAGCCTGGGCTACAAAGCAAGTCCAGGACATCCAAGGCTACACAGAGAAGCCCTGTCTTAAAACAAACAAACAAGATTAAAAGTATTTTGGTTTGCCAGGTGGTGGTATGCATGGCTTTAATCCCAGCACTTGGGAGGCAGAGGCAGGCAGATCTCTGAATTAGAGGCCAGTCTGGTCTACAAAGCTAGTTCCAGCCAGGGCAACACAAAGAAACACTCCCCTTCAAAAAACAAAACAAAATGGTTCTAATCTATACATTTCTCTGCAGAAGACTTCAAGAGAATCAGTTGATTGCTTGTGGTGACACATACCTGTAATTCCAGCATTTGAGAAGTAGAGACAGGAGGGTCAGGAGTTAAGGGTTATCCATGGCTGCATAATGAGTTGAGGCCAACCTGAGCGACATGCAATACTATCTCATAATATTTTTGAAAAAAGCATTAAAGTAGATTTTAGGGTCGCACTTAAAGCACTTCAATGATGTGTCCTTTGTCCCCTCTGGCTCTTACACTTTCTGCCTCCTCTTCCTCTGACTTCCCTGAGCCCTGAGAGGAGGGATTTGATGGAGACATCCTATTTAGGACTGAGTGTTCTGCATATTGTCTGGCTGTGGATCTCTGTGTTTGTTCCCATCTCTGCAGAGGAAGCTCTGAGGATGGCTCAGCAAGGCCATCCTGCCTGGAGTCAGAAGGCCAATATTTTTAAAGAGGTGAAGAACTTTTACTAGATCAATGTAAAATGGCTATTTTTTAAAACTTATAACTGTATTGCTTTGTAAAATGTTCTCTAATGCTTTCATAAACAAAATCTGATCTTAAACATCCTTAAGCTCACACAAAAAATTAGTTCAGCTGCAGTGAGAAGGACAGCTCTTTAGCTGTAGTGATACATCTCAGAGCAGCAGATTGAGACAAAGTGTCTTATCCAAATTGTCATCTTTTTGTTTTGTTTTACATTTTTGCCTCAGGGGCTAGGACCTGGGACCTCACAAATGCTAGCTAGGCAAGTGCCCTGCTACAGAGCCACACCCATAGTCCTACAGTGTTATCTTCATATCACATCTAGTAAATATGTAAACTGAATAAAATGTATTTATAAAATGTTATTTAAAAATCTTTCAAATATTTTTAGTACATTTGAAGTATGATAAAATGAATAAATAATGTTGGGTATTAATTTATTTTAATTATTATTTTTAGAACCTTCCTTCAGGATCATCACGGGTTGGAGCCATTAAACTGACCTACATTTCAAAGGTAGACTCTATATATTTTTTAGCAATTAATTAAAAATTTTTTGTTCTTTGTTTGATATTTCTGAGTCAGTTTTTTTTTTTTTTTAAATTTCAGTTTATTTACTTTACATCCCAAGGGTGCCTCTTCCCTCCTTAACTCCCAATACCTCCCTTCCCCTCCTTTCCTCTTCCCTGCTCCCCTTCGCCCTAGAAAAGGGGAGTCACCCCCTCTCCCCTGTCAGCCTTTCCCAGCACATCAGATCACATCTGGACTGAGTGTATCCTCATCCCCTGAGGCCAGGCAAGCCAGGGGTGAGACAAAGTCTTAACTATGTAGCCTAGAACGGCATTGAATTTTCAGTCCTTTTGAGTGTTGGGCTCACGGAGTGGGGCTATCCTGTGCAGCTGCCATTGTGTTACTCTCATGTGAATTCAATCCCAGGTGGGAGTGTGGGCAGAGCAGAACAGCTTCTTTTTGTCATTTAGCAGTCAGTGATGCATAGGTTCTGGTCATGCTGAAGATTATACTTGGTTACTGTGGTTAGGAATTTTTTAAGTTGATAAAACTAGAAGGAATATGAGTTTAATTTATGAGATGTGGCAAATTACAGAAGTATTACTGACTTTTATGATCAGTTACATGACTGCCAGAAGGGGAGAAATTGCTAAGATCAGTGGCAAACCTGTAACTTAGCCAGCAGGGAAAGTGGAGGCATGATGGCTGGTTTGAGGCTAGCTTTGGTCACCTCGCAAGATACTGCCTGAAATGTAAATAATAAATAAATAGAGTAGGAGCAAAGTTAGCTAACAGGCTGTGTCTTGGAAGTTTTGGGGAATAGTTTTTTATTTATATTACTTGTTAAATATTTTCCCCAACTTTTAAAATTCCATTGCCTCTGACATTTTTTTAATACATATTTTGTGTGTGTGTGTGTGTGCCCATGCGTATGTGTACATATATTGTGTATATGGGTACCTGCAAAGACCACAAAGAGGGCATCAGATCCCCTGGAGCTGAAGTTAGGTGATTGTGAGCCACCTGACATGGCTGTTGGGAACTAAATTGGTGTCTCTGAAAGAGCAGTAAGTGCTTTTAACCCCTCAGCTCTCTCTCTAGCCCCTATATGTTTTATTTTGAGGAAAATGTGTACTCTCATCATGTTGAAAGGATGAGATTGTTTTCCATTTTATTTTGCTTTTACTAATTTGTTTTTTTAATTGATTTTGTGGTATAAATTTTAGTTTTCAAAAATTTAGATTCTATATTTGTTTAATAGCTTTTTTGTTTGTTTTTGCTTTCTAAGACAGGGTATCAATGTGTAACTTCGATTGACCAGGAACTCACACTGTATACCAGGCTGGCTTTGAATTCAGAGATCTGCTTGCCTCTACAAGCGCTGGGATTAAAGGATGCCATTCCTGGGCTGGCTAGCTGGCTTGCTTACTTTTTACTTACTTTCTTATTCATCTATCTGTCTGTTTGTCTGTCTATCATCTAGCTTATCTATATCCATCCATCCATCCATCCATCCATCCATGGTCTCTCTATATAGTCTTGACTGCCCTGGAGCTTACTATGTAGACCAGGCTGGCCTTAAGCTCACAGAGATCCATCTGCTGGGATTAAAGGTGTGGGCTACCACAACTATTTGCTTTTTGTTTTAATTAATGTTTATAAAATTAAGATTAAGTTACTGAGGTGTTAGCCCTGTGGGTTTGTCTGTATGTGTAATTTTGTTTTGCACAAGAGCTAGGAGCATCTGTTGATAACTTAAAATATGAGGTGCAAATCAAATGAAGTATTAATTAACTCAGTAAAGCAGGCAAAGAGTGGTTACTGTTTCCTCTCCTTCGCTGCTCCTGGTTAAAATATAAGCTTTTCTGTGCAGTGCCTCTCTCTGTCCTGCAGCTTACTAAGTTTGGATCGAACAATTTTATTGTGCCGCTTTAATCATGCTAACAAACTTCATTGTGACTGGACTGTGAATTTGTAGTTGGGATTCATCAAGAACTCTAGAGTAGAATTCATTGTGAAATATAAAATATGAGTCCTCACACTGGGAAACAGCTCAGCAGTAGTCGTGAGTAGGGCTCTGAGGGCATCTTATGCACACTGATAGTACTGACGTACAGAGTGCAGCTAGTTGTGAGAAGAGCTGTTCTGTATTTAATGACCCTGGAACCAGCAGAGCTTGAGTGCCATGTTGACTTCTCAAAGAGGTGAAGGCCTTCTTTTTTTTTTTTTTTTTTTTTACAATTTATTCACTTTGTATTCCTGCTGCAGCCCCCTCCCTTGTCCTCTCCCAATCCTGCCCTCCCTCCCTCTTCTCCTTCTATGCCCCTTCCCCAATCCACTGACAGGAGAGGTCCTTCTCCCCTTCCATCTGACCCTAGCCTATCAGGTCTCATCAGGACTGTCTGCATTGTCTGATGAAGGTCTTCTTTAAAGTCTTAGATTTTAAAGAAACAAGCATGCAGTCCATCATCTTTGCTTATAGTTAGCTGCCAACATAGAAATACGAAGTTTAGGAATATTCATAGTTTCTATACTGTAATAGTATGTAGCTAATAGTATATCTGTGACATAATGTCACTGGTATACTTTCATTTTCACATTTCCTGGAGAAAAGCTTGTTCAAAGAAAATGTGGAAGCATCATTTGTCTTATATAATTAGGACCCAGATTCTATATCTAATTTGCTATCTTTAGGTTACTTTTAAATTTTAATTTCACATTGGTATGCTAAGTGGGAAATCGTGCATGTGGAAGATTGCATAGTATTTGAGACTGAGTATTGTAGTATGTGGAGAAGGATAACTCAGACCTCTTTTTCTTACTAGGTTAGCGATGCAACTAAGTTAAGGCCAAAGGCAGAGTTTTGTTTTGGTAAGTAGCTACATTTATTTTATTTCCTAAATGACATCTTCCACCAAACTCCTCTGAGTTTTCTTAAAAAAATATGTGTATGTATATGTATGTATGTGCATACATGCACACACGTATCACAACACTCATGTACAGATCAGAGAATAAGTTACAGGAGTCAGTTATCTCCTCCTACCATGTGGGTTCATAGATTGATTGATGGCATGGTTGAACTCAGGCCATCAGGCTTGGTGGCAAGTGCCATCTTGCCAGCCCTGTTAGTTATTTTAAAGTAGGCTGATATAATTACATCAGCCTATTATAAAGGAGAACAGTCATAAGAAATACATCTATGGCTTAATGACTGTAAATTTCTATGGGAAATCCCTTTACAGCCATCATCCAGGTGAGGGATAAAACTTTGACCCTGGCTGCCAACTGTAGTTCCCTTTCCCCTTCTCATTCTGGTTATAACCTCCCCTGCATTCAAGTGTACCTAATGATCTCAGCAATATTTCAGCTAGTGTTTATATGTACCTTTTATGTCCAAGCAATGGATGGACTTTTGTGAGGGAATGAAATACTGGAGGCAGGAGTCATTGAGGGTGGTAGATGAGTAGGTGCTTAGATCACCTAGGACACATTGGGCTCTGGGAGAATAAGGAGTGTTGGTTCCTCAAGGATCTCAGGCTGGCTGATAGACAAATGAATTACCTGTTGTTATCATTCCATCAGTATCATTCAAGCAGTCAGTAGTCAGTGGGGGTATAGAGTCACTGATGCCTCCATGAATGAGAACACCCTATGCTGGGGGCAAGTAAATTGCTGACCACTTTTTACCAACAGTTAGAAGTAATAAAACCTCATGGGCAGAGATGTGCAAAGGAGGAGAATATGGTTTATGAACTGGAGGCATAAGTCAGAGTGTGGTATGTTGACCAGTGCATTTTGTTATTTGGAGAAAAGGTTAGAAAGTAGAGAGTGCCATACGCAGACCTGAGGTGAATGAGAGTGTTGGCTCCATGCATAGGAATTAAGCAGGTAGAGCAGTCATGTGGCTTTTGAACTACTGTTCTTAAGGCCTTAAACTGGGATGAAGCTGATAGAGGTGAGAGAATCTAGAAGAACATTAGAAGAAAAAGTACAGAGCATTAGAGACTTGGTACCTGCCCAGGCAGATTCCATGTCCTTGCTATTATGAGTAATGCTAATGGAGGTTTACAGATGTTTCTTTTGTATGCTGATTTCATTTTCTTTAAGCATATGCTCAGAAGTGTTTTATTTATTTATTTATTTATTTTAATATGTGGAAGTTAGAGGTAAAAATGACCTGAAAGTAGAAGGGGTCAGGGAAGGGGAAAAGAACTAGTATGGAACAGGATGCTGGGGTGTGATGCCTAATCTTGCTTGTCAAGTTAGTGGAATTTAGAATCACCATCAAAAAAACTCCCTAAGCATTAACAGAGGAAGGGAGATCCATCCTCATGTAGGTAGTACTATTCTGTGGTCTTGAGGAAGTGAGTGAGCACAAAGATTCATCATTCTCAGCTTCTTGACTTCAGATGTAGTGGGACCCCTCCTCCTCTTCCTCCTCCTGTACCTTCCCTGCCATGATGGGCTGCAGCACCTGGGACTGGGAAACAGAATAAGCCCTTCCTTCCTTAAATTGCTTCTATAGATATGTTGTTGTAGCAGTGAGGCAAGTAACTAAATCATAGAGCAAGAGAAGGATCAGTTGTGTGCTCTTTGAGCACTTCCCCCGGCGATGTGTATTTGCCAGGCCACAGAGGAAGAGGATCCAGGCAGTACTGATGAGACTTGATAATCTAGTAGGAGGAGAACTCCCCCTACTAGTGGACTAGGAGAAGGGGGTTGAGAGAAGAGGAGGGGAGGGTAGGACTGGGAGTAGTTGGGCAAGGGGTCTACAATTGGGTTCTACGATGAATAAATTGTTAATAATAATAATATATTGGAGAAGTTTTTCCAAAAGAGAGAAAGAGAGAGAGAAGGATCCAGAGAGGATGGGCCGAGTGGCATAATGAGACCTTGTGGCTTTTACAATTAATGCATATTAATGTATGGAGAAATTTAGAGGGTCAGTGGTGAGTCAAACTGAAAAAAATTGCTGCCCTCCCAGTATGTTACAGTGATGGAAGAAGGGGCAGAAGTAGAGACTAACCAGCAGAATTAATGTTAGTGTTTAAGTTCTTTGCTCTCTTCTGTGTATGAGGGTGACTTTTTCCTGCAGGTTGACATTTAGAGCAGTATTTGATGGTAGCCACATGTATCCAGTAAGGGAAGCCACTGTGAACAGACTGAAGTTAGCTGCTCAGAGAACTCTATTAAGAAACATTTGTAATTATTATATATTTATTGCAGATTACAATTACTAAGTAAGAGGATGTTTCAGAGACTTGTAATTGAAGGGTATTAGGGTTCCTCAACTAACAGAACTTTATTAGAATATTGAATCTCATACTTGTTTTGTCATACAGTCTGAATATCAACCTAGGACCTTGGGTATACTAGACAATACAACGGAGCTAAAACACCTCGAGCCCAAACACATGCTTTTTAACACACACACACAAATCTCCCCTTTGATAGGTTGAGGGACTAGTTTAAGTAATAAACACAACATTCATAGTTATTAGGCCTAGTTAGAATAATGATTTTAGTTGGAATCAAAGATTAAGATGAGCCTCTTTTTAGTCTTTCTGTGGTTTGGTAGTTCTCTGCCAGCAGGAATAGGGAAGAGGTTGGTAGAAGTCTGAGAGAGACTGGACCTCCCACTTCATTCTAAGTGACACCATGTCTAATTGCCCTGAAACAGTGGGAACAAGAAACAGTAAAACCTCACCTTAGATAAAGGTAGGGGACGTGAGCAGATGGCCCTCAGTGTATAAATATGGAAGCCAATGGAGGAATGGTAGCTAAGTTTGCAAGCAGAGAGAGACCAATGAATAGCTAACCATTTTAGGGTCCTGCCCCACCTTTCTCTAATAGGTTTAGGTAATGAGGCTTGATTGAGGGGGATGGGAGAAGCTACAGTGAGGAGGGACTAACAGGTTCTTTGTTTGTCTTTAAAAAGAAAGAAAGAATAAAACCCTGTAGTCTGTGTCTCCATCTGGCTCTTGTGGGCAGCCACCCTTCCCCCAGCTCAGCAGGGAATGGGATGTGTGTTGTCTCCAGAAATAGAAACTAACACTAATCCCAGAGAAGGGAAGGAATGAGGCATGAAGCTGAAAAGGAGGATTAAAGGAGAATCTGAATACTGAATGCCATCCTGTCCTGTATGTAGCCCCAGGGAACCTGCAGCCAGCTGCAGCCAGCCCTAGGTGGGCAGAGCCTGAGTACCCTCAGGAACCCAGGAACTGTACTGACATCTGGATATTTCCACTAGGAGAGCTTGCTGGATAGTGAGCTGTACAAGGTCAACCCCACAACCCAAGAGGGTACAACTAGCTTTTAAGTCCTTCCTTTAGAATAGTAACAGATAGCCCAAACTTAGTATTTGAGGAGAGTTATGAGACAAAAAAGAAACAAGTAATATAAAACTCAGCAGAGAAGCTTTTTTTTTTTAATGCAAAAAAAAAAAAAAATCAGCAAAAGTTAAAAAGTGGTAATAGAGAAACGTATGTGGCAATCTTACTTCTAAACCTGTAACCTCAGCATTTCAAGAGGATGGCAGATCCCCAGCAAGCCAGGACTACAGACTGAGCAACTTTCTCAAAAACAAACTAATAGAGGGATTAATTAATTAATAGAGGAAGGGCAAACCAGAGAAGTAAGAAAGGAGCTGTTGTGGCCACAGCCATTTAGTCCTGATCATGAGAGAATTTTTGCTGCAGTTACACTAATGTCTGCTGTAATTTTTTATACATTTGTTTTGTTTGTTCTTGTTTGAATAAAAGTTAAAAAAACAAAATTTTGAATAAAATGTACTCAGGTGAAAAAGGAAGCAGACCAGCCTCTGAAGACTCAGCTTCATTTGAAACTTGCTTAAAAAGCTTGGCAACTTAGAGGTGTCCTAGCTTTGTGTTTGTGGTAGTCAAGGCATTTTCTTTCCCTTTCTGTTCCCTCCTCTGCATTGCATGTATACCACTTTCCAGTAATTCACACTCTTTGGGAACCTGAAGTTGGTGATAGAGAGGAATATTGTGTCCATTTCTTCACTTGCATTGTCATTTCTCTAGGGAAGGATGAAGAGAGCAGGACTCAGATCAGACTGTGCTCCAGAGCCCTGCATAAGCTATCAGCCTCACTCGTTCTGACTTCTCAGTTTGTAGCAAATGTCTATGCCCCTCTTGACATGAAATAAAAGCATGTGAAATTTTACTCTAACCACAAGGTGTGCCAAGAGGTTTTTTTTTTTTTTTTTTTTTTTTTTTTTGGTTATAGCTTTTGGTGTGGGGTTCAGGAACTAGAAATGGAATCCACAGCCCGTGCATTGTTGGCAAACTCTGAGCTATATCTCAAACTACAAAGAGTCTTTTTAGTTTAGTTGTGTTGACCTCTTTTTTTTCTCCTTCAAAAAGGCCCTCATATAAATATTTTTCATTTAGAAATATTTGTATTATACATTTGCTTTGTGCCAGTTGTTGTAGTACACTATTACTTTTTGTTTATTTTTAAACTATTTTATTTTTTGTACATATATATGTAAATATATGTGTACATATATTTAATTTTTTACTCAAAAGTACAGTTGGTGGTTTATTACACTTTTTGACATTTTCAGATGAATTTTTCTGTGGCATTTCATAAGATGTACTCTGGCTTCTTTTCTGCCACCCTAAACTTAGGGAGCTCTGGTTAGAGTGCCTTGCTTTCAGGCCCAGTATCAACGTCATCTGTGCTTTAGAAATCACTTTTCTTTTCGCTTGAGGGTTTTTAATTCCTTCTCTTAGTCATATCCAACTGAGTGCAAGTACATTAATTAATCGTGTTATGGTGGAGACTCTGGAAAGTTTTTGTTTGTTTGTTTGGTTGGTTTTGAGGCAGCCTTGGCTGTCCTGGAACTCAGTATGTAGACTGGCCTTGAAGTTGATTTTATATTTGAACAATTTCAATAATATGGCTATTCAGATGCCTTAGCTCCTACAGTAGTAGTTGGTTTTCTAGATCAGTGCATATGATGTATATAGGTGTGATTGAAGAGGCCCTTATGGCTTGTAGACAGCTGTCTACAGACAGTGGATAGGCCCACGCCACAGTGAGCCATTTGTAAATTTTAGAGAAAGGACTCCTCTAATCCTAGCACTTGGAAGGCAGAGGCTGGTGGGTCTCTTATCAGTTTGAGACCAGCCTGATCTACATATTGAGCTCCAGGACAGCCAAGGATAGATACATAGAGAGACTGTGTCTCAAAAGAAAAAAAGTTTTTGTGTGTGTGAAAGTATTAAAACAACTTAATCTGGGGCTAAAAATATTATAGGGGCTGAAGGATGTTTATAAACTTAAGTTATGGAGGTTTTTAAATACATGAAGTCTATAAGATTAAAGGGAAACTGATTAAATACTTGCTTTTTATCAAAGATACCATTAACAACATGAGAATTCATGACAGACCAGGGAAAGTGCTTATAAAGCAATTGGTTAATAGAAAAGCTCCTGCAGATCAGTACATTACAACTGAGCAACTCAAGAGAAATGAGCAAAAGAATATACAAAACATGAAGCAAACGTAGGTGCCTAATACCCACACAAAACTTCTATTCAAACTCAAGCAAGGTCTAGTTATCTACTAATTAGCAACTAATTAGGTCTGATAATAGACTGCTGTATCAGTTAGTGTCTGTTGAATGGAAACACCATTTGAGGCATTTTTTTGGTCCCAAAGTTATTTCCCTAAATGTCAGAAGGCAGAAAGGGCACAGTGGAGATGTTGCAGTGACATTGGAGACCTCATGAAGCACTCTACTGTGCTGGGGCTAGGAGGCAGAAGGGAAGAGGCAGTACATAGCCTTGTACCAAGGAGGAACAGCTACCAGAAAGCTATGAAATAAAGCTTTAGACTCTCAACCCTCAAGAGTCAAGACTTTAAATCAAGGAATGTATTATTTAGCACAGATGTTAATAACAATACAGGTGAGAGGTATTAGAGGCCTTGTCACAGTTGGGAAGAAGCTTCTGTATAGGGATTAAGGGTTTTTTATTTGTTTTACTTTTTTGTTTTTTTTTGAGACAGGGTTTCTCTGTATCAGCCCTGGCTGTTCTGGAATTGCTTTGTAGGCTAGACTGACCTTGAACTGACAGAGATCCATCTGACGCTGCCTTCTGAGTGTTGGGATTAAAGGCATGAGTTATTGTACCTGGACTAATGCAATTTTTAAAAGTTATTTTTTAATAATTTAAAAAATTATTTTATTAGTATGGCTATTTTCCTGGCATGTATGTCTGTGCATCACTTGTATTCAGTGTTCTCAGAGACCAGAAGAGGATATTGGATCCCCCGGAGCAGGAGTTACAGACAGTCGTGAGCTGTTACGTGGATGGTGGGAAGTGACCCATGTCCTTTGGTTCTTAACCAGTGTTCTTAACCGCTGAACCATTTTTCTAGTCCCCCAGAACAAAAATTTTAAATGTTATTTCTCTGTGACTCAGTAAGTTTGTATCAAGATTATTCCACAGAAATGCTGGTCAAAGTGTGGAAGAATATGCGCAAGTGATGTTTCACTGTAATGATTTATGTTAACTGAACTATGCATCATTGGGGAACTGGCTCACTATTTAGTGGTATACTCATTTAATGAAAATTAGCCATAAATGAGTTTTGCCTATGTAACTCAATGATGAAATCAGTGTTTTATATGGCCTAATGTATTTGGTCAAATCCTAGACTTGCAATGTTGAATCTGGTAAGACTTTTTGCAGCTGTTCTAACATAATATAGAGGTAACACGTATAATATTTCATATTCCTAACTTTTTTTGACAGTTATGAATGCAGGAATGAGAAAATACTTCCTACAAGCCAATGATCAGCAAGACCTAGTGGAGTGGGTGAATGTCTTGAACAAAGCTATAAAAATTACAGTAAGTGTATTTTTTGAAATGTTTTCTTGTTACAGAAGTGATTTTTTTTTTTTTTGGAAAGCCTTATTTATTTAATATGTATACAGTGTTCTGCCCGCATGTGTGCCTGCACGCCAGCAGAGGGCACCAAGTCTCACTATCGATGCTTGTGAGCTACCATTTGGTTGCTGGGAATTGAACTCAACCTCTGGACGAGCAGGCAGTGCTCTTCTGAGCCATCTCTTCAGCCCCTACAGAAGTAATCTTTACATTTAAAAAATGTGTTTAATGTCATTAGCTTTCCAGCAGGTTGTATAATCAATCTTGCTTTAAAAGATAAGTTCTGAATGTGAACCATTTTCTTGTGTGTGGCAGACTGCCAGCCTGTCATTGGCTTTCACTTGTCCTGTTCCTAGTAAGGATTCGCATTACAGTGCATGCTGATTGTGGTTTGTTCTTCTTTTTATATCTAGAGTAGAATCAGAGACTTTGACCACTTACTCAGGATGACCATAAGCATTCTCCTTTTTTTTAAGACATGACAGGCAAAGGAGAAGGTGGGTGCGGACAAGGGAATGTGCAGGTCTAGAGAGAATGAGTTTGAAGAGTGCTCTAGAGATGTCTGAGGCACTAAACTCCTTCTCTCACCTGTTCTTTTCCCTGGAGTTCCTGGGCCTGCTATTCTTCCCTCCTGCTGATACTACAACTGACTGCTGTTAAAATCTTCTGTTTGGTTTAAAATGATCATCAGCACTTACTAATTACTTACACCGTACCAGCAGGCAGGCTTCAGGTGGAAGGCTTACTACTCTCAACTTTCCAGAAATGTGAGTTTTGGGTATAGAATCCAGGCAAGCTCATTGGTTCCTAGACCCAAAATCCGCAGTGCAGCGAACAGAGAGCCCCTTCTTAAAGTCAGTCAAGCTTTTCTGAGCAAGTTGCTGCTGCTGCGCACATGCGCTGCTCCGCTGCAGCTTTCTCCTTCCACAGAGTAGACTGTCTGGAAGGAGTATCAGCTAAAGTCTGTTCTCACTGAAGTGCAGTTATTTACTGCTCCTTGTCTGCCCGTGGCCAAAGAGCTTGGGCCCTCAAAATCAACACATAAAATCCTCATCTAAAGTGAACACTTCCATGTCTATGCCGCACCACAGAGAGTTAAGCTAGCCAACCAAGGCTGTTCTTAGTTAGGTCAAATTTTTTTGTATTGCACCAGAACAGCTTGTTACCGCATGACAGAAAACGCCCACACACCACATCTGATCTGTATGTGAAGCAGAAGTTATTTTGGGGCTTGTGCAGTTTCAGGAAAGCATTATTTTGAACAGATTCAGAAGTTTATGTTCTTATAAGGTTTTAACTGATCATTTGAGCTCCTAGTAAATATTTCTTACCTGAAAGATGTTTTTATAAAGGCTATATGTAGTACTTTTATGAGTTTATTTTTCACAGTTTATATTAATAAGCAGAACTGGCTTTTAGTGATTTGGAGAAAATTTGAATGACCGGTCTCAGCATTTTACCAAGTTGGAATGCCTTGAATTGTTATTTCTTTTATTCTTGGAACTAAGTAGTTTTTCATGTGCAAGTTTTTCAGTGTAGAGGAGAAACTGGCAGTGTTTATGGTATAGACCTTTAATTACCTCTTTTGATCTTGCACCTTTATTTTATATGGCGTTTTTACTGTTTTTAGATAAATCTTGATAATGATTTCATGACTTTATAATTAATAGTTTGGAAATTATAAATACAAGTAAAATACAGAAATCAACCAGTGAAGGAATTATACCTGCAGTGATGAGAATATAGAACTGGTTATTGGTGGGAGTCAATTTTAGGTAAACATTAGGTGAATGAGAGAATTCCAGGCTTTAGTAAGATACATTTTATTGGGGGTGAAGACATGGGTCAGAGGTTAAGAACACTGGCTGCTCTTGCAGAGGATCTGGCTTTGGTTTCCTACACCCATGTGACTGCTCACAACTATCTGTAACTCTAGTTCCAGGGGATATAATACCTTCTTCTGGCCTACACAGTCAAAAGATATGCAGGCAGAGTACCCATACACATTTTTGAAAAAAAGTTACAGATAGAAATTTTGTTAAATTCTTTAAAATAAAATTATACCAGTTTAGATCTCATAGGCATTTTGCATATTTAAGTATATAGGAATGTGGTATGTCTAATTTCATACTTATATGGTAATAATTTGCATGTAGGAGCTTATAAAAATTAACATTTCCATTTTAATACATGTGTAGTTTACCTTCCTCTGGAATCATTCCAAATGATAATTTGATCAACTATAATTTAGTGGTTTGCTGAGTACTATGTGAGCTATATGTTTAAAATTTTAAATTCATTTTCCAGAGCATGGTTTCATCTTAGGGATCGTTAGGACATGGTAATTAGTTAAGTAGTTCCAGTGGAGGAGTGTTGCATCATAGTGTACTGCCCTTCACAGCTATAGTTTGTCTAACCTTCCCTAAGTCTGCGGAACACTGTAAATTCTCCTAGATGTTTAAAAACTAAAAAGAATTTATAAAAAGTCAGTATCAGAAGAAATAATCTCAGACAGCACTTTCAGTGACTTAAGTTTGGAAAATAAAAATTGGAAGCATGCTTTCAAATGTGTGTTAGTCTGCCTTCAGTGTAGTGGCTTCTGGTCCTTTACTTGAGAGAGTGATAAAGACATCCATAGTTGTTCCTAAGCAGAAGTCTACTATTTCTAAAATGCCTTTTTCCACCCTAAGTTCTAACTTAAAAGCCTATATTAGCTTTTAATCTAAAGACTCATCTTTTAAAGTTGTAGCAGAAATTCCACAGCGACTGGTTTTTTTTTTTTTTTTTGTTTGTTTTTTTTTTAATGACAACTGGGACAAGTAAGCTGAATATTGGTTTAAAGAACAACTTTGCTGCCCTGCAATGTTAACCAGGTTTTTGCCAGCTGGACATTTCAGACAGAGAGATTATACATGTCTTGCCACTGTTAAAATGAAAGGTTTTTTTCTATGCCCACTCACACAGACCTGTCACATTTATTAATAAGTATCAAGCATTCAAGCACCATAACTGGGCAGATACTGATCTAACCAACTATACTAGCCTGGCCTGTTTCTCAGTCATGTGTCCCATGCTGCGTGTCACCTCGTCTTACCCTGGCCACTCCTGCTCCATGTGTCCTCATGGCCTGGTGACCACCACCACTACCACCTCCTTTTTCTCCTCCTCTCCTCCTCCTCTTTTTCCTTCTTCTTCTCTTCCTTTTTCCCTCCATCCCTCTCTCCCTCTAAGATATAAGCCATTCTTACCCACAAACAGTTATGTTTATAAGTGTGTGTGGATTAAGATCTTCTCACATACACAATTTAGGCTTATTCAGAACCTTGAAGAAAGTTTCTTTGTAAATAAACCTGTGTGCACAGGTTCTTTTCCACATCTGGTGAGTGCAGTGTTATGCACAGTGACAGCACAGTGTGGAATAGAGTTTCTTCAAGTGTAGTTTGTCAAATATAGTCCCTCAAAAGCACCTGTTCCTTCTGAAACTGCAGTTTGAGGGGGTGTCCTGGAGACTTGTTCTGGGGATGGAGCTGGAAATCTACAGATTTAGTGATGCTCCTGGGTGGTGTCTCATGTACATAACCTGTCTTGGATGGATTCACATTAGTACATGAAGAGGCTTTGACTGCAGTGTTAGTAGTTTCTCTGTAGTTCACAGGTGATGGGCAAATGATTTAATTTTAGATTAAATGTTTTTTTACCATTACCTTTTTTACCAATACGTTGTCATTCATTTTGTTGATAGTTTCTGAAAGACTGTGGAGACATCTAAATAAAATGCCTTTTAAATCATATTCAGTATATAATTGATGCTGTGCCTGTTTTATTTAATTTTATTGCACAAATTTAGCCAGAATGTAGTATAGCTGGTATTTCAACCTATGTTCTCTTGGAACAGTAACTTTTATTCACCTGAGGTAATTGTCTACAAGGTTTACCCCCTCCATCTCCTTACCTAGCCCTGGCAGCTTCTAGCCTCTATACAATCTAATCTAGGCCTAAATTCTTTCAGCCTGTGAGACTTACTGCTGAATATGCTCACCCTGTCTAATTCTTTCTGAACTTTGGCCGGCTGGTTCAACTCAGCTATTCTGCCTCAAGCTCCTCTCCAAGCTGACTGATTAAATCTGGCTTCTCTCAGTTTTTTCACTGAATTGCGCTGCCTGGCCTCAAACTAACTCTAGCAATCTGTTCTATTCTTGGCTCCTTCTCATTCTCTGGCTCGTTCTGTCTTTACCAGTGTCTAGCTTGTTCGCTCTTCATCTTCTGTCTGTGAAACTCCCCTGGTAAAAACTGCTGCCTCTGAATTCCACGAACTGAACTGCCACAAATTGAACTCCACTGAACTGCCTCTCAGCTTCCTGACTCAACAGAGCTGACTGAATAGAACTGACAAGAACTGAGAACTGTGCCTGTCTCCTGAGTGCTGGGATTAAAGGCGTGTACTGCCACACCCGGACCTAAGCTTTTCTTTACCAACCAGGCTGGCCTTGAACTCAGAGATGTACTTGCCTCTGTCTCTTGGAGTAAAGGCATGTTTGTATTCCAGCCGGATCACTTACCTAGGTCTTTGGATGAGATCTCTTGCCACAGCAGCCATGTTCTGAATTAAAATTTCTCTACATTCCCTGTTGCCTTTAAGTGCCTGCTTCCTTCTCAGAGTGTGCTGAGAGTTGGCCAGGGGAGGAAGGAGGAAGTGTGTGAGGGAGTGACTGCATGAGCACCAGCAGTAGTTGATAACTGCTGTACCTTAAAATGTAGGCCAGAACAATCTGATCTCTTGGATTAAAATATTGTAAATAGATTACCATTTGTCAGTTATCTACAAAGCAGTTGAAAATCCTGTGGTGATGAGGCTTGCAAATATAGTTCTGGTTACATGATAGTCTGTCTCCCCTCTTCAGGTACCAAAGCAGTCAGACTCACAGCTGGCCTCTGACAGCCTGAGTCGCCACGGTGACTGTGGCAAGAAGCAAGTGTCTTACAGAACTGACATTGTTGGTGGTGTACCCATCATCACTCCAACTCAGGTAACAAATGCTTCTGTTCTGTGTTGGTCATGACTGCATATTGATACTTTTATTTTCATCAAAACTGAAGCGGAGTGTCTTTGCTGAATTCAGTTTGGTTTCTTATTGGAACGTGTTTCACAAACTTTTGTGTGTTTATTGTAAAAAAGATTGGAAGTCACACAGATAAACATTTGATCCTTCTGAGCTGAAATTTTTTGTACTCTCTCTGCAGAAGTGGAGATGGGAGTTACATGTTATACTTTGTAGCAGGATATCTCAGATCAGTCTTCACAAATTCCCATCTCACTTGTGGTGACTGCACAGTTCTGCTATGGGCTTACCATAATTCATAAGCCTCTCTTAATAGACAAATGGAGGGATTTTCTTTTCTTTCCTTTATTTTATTTAACAATGTTGTGATGAACATTCTTATATCTTAAACTTTGGCGATTACTATGCATACTAGGCAAGAGCCCTACTACTGTGCTATAACTTGATTCTTTTTCAATTTTTGTTTAAGACAGTGTCTAAAAGAATTTCCCAAGCTGTCCTCAATTCTATTTTGTAGCCCAGACAAGCCTTGAACCTTAGCTTCTTCTGCCTCAGCTTCCTGGGCAGCTAAGCTTATGGGTCAACAGCAAGATAAATTAATTCTTGAAAGTAAAGTTGTTGGGTTAGAGTCTGCAAATATTGGGTAATTTTTTAAAAACCTGTTTTGTGTGTGTGTGTGTGTGTGTGTGTGTGTGTGTTGTCATCATTTTCCTACAACCTGAGGACTGCAGCTCTGGCTGGATCAGTATCCTAAAAGTTCTGATATGTGTGGGTATTAGGAAAAATAAATATGTACTTCTAAAAATGAACTTGAAACTTTTATGTGGGCTTAAGTTTCTTATATTGTTATTGAGAAAATGTACTTTTAATATAAATTAAAATAGTGTTAGTTGAGAAACCAAGAATTTGTGAAGTGATGGCTATTGGCAGTATGGATATGCTCATTACTTCTGTGTCTTTTGATCTTAACAAACTCTGATCCTCTACAAACCTTTAACATTGTAACATACACCATCTTTTTCAAGCCTTTTGCCAAGGGAATGTGATTAGTGGGAATGTGATTGATCTCATAACATCAATAAATTAAATATTGGTTATATTTTTTTTCTGTTTGGCAAAGGGTATTTAATAACACTAATTACAGGGGTTTGTTGTTGTTGTTTTATTTTTCCAAAGTTAGATTAAAAAAAAATAGGGAAAAAGAGAAGGGTGTTGGAGGATTGCTTTTTTTCTGAAAGTGATAATTTCAGCCTGCTAACCTTGTGATTGGTAATTAGCTGGGCTGAGCTTTTTTTCCATGATATGCCTTATGTTGGCTGTTGGTGGATAGGTGTGTTAAGACACCAGTGAGGTTTGTGTTTGTGCCTGTGGCTGTTGTTGATTAGATTCTATAGAAGCAGAAGATGTCATTTTAAAGCATTTCTGGAGTCCAGTGAGATGGCTCAGTGGTTAAGAGCACTGTCTGCTTTTCCAGAGGTCCCAGCAACCACATGGTGTTTTATGACCGTCTGTAATGAGATCTGGTGCCCTCTTCTGGCATGCAGGTGTACATGCAGTCAGAGCACTCATATACATAAAATAAATAAATAAATCTTTAAAAAAAACATTTCTGAAAATGCTGCTGTTTTATTGTAATACAGAATTTTAAAATCTGTAAGTCAAGGATTAGGCAAAGAGCTTTTAGACTTGACATCAAACACATTACATTGTCCATAAAAGGAGAAGACTAATAATTGCACATCACGAGTATTTCAAATGCTTGTTTTGTGAAAAACCCTGTTCAGAGGATGAATAGAAGAGATAGACTGAAAGAAAAGTTTACAAGGTACTTATCTAACAAAGGACTTTTATCTACAGAAAGAGCTCTTAAAACCCAGTAATTAACAAACCAAAAAGTCCTTAAAAGGTAGACAAAATTCATAGCCGGCCATTTCACCAAAAAATGAAATATAGACTAATAGACACTAGGAGAGATGGCTGCCATTTGTAGCCAGTAGAGAAAAATTCGAATTAAGGACCCAGGGCAATACCTCACCCGAACAGGGATGCTTGGGTCTCTCACCTATTCATTGCTGGTGGAGGTGTAAATAAAACAGTTCAGCCACTCTAAAAAAAATTTGTGTGGTGGTTTCCTTGTCATCTTTGAGTAAGTTTGCAGTTACTCTCCAGCCTAGTATGTTTTCTTCTAGGCATTTATAATAGCCTCATTCCTAGTAGCCAGAAGCTGAAAATAATGCACACTGTTAATTGGGTAAGTGATCAGCAGCATAATACGGTGGTACACCGAGACCACTGGATATAGCAGCATAGACAATGGACAGCTGATATCAAGAGACACCTGAATGAGCCTTCAGAGAGTGATGCTCAATGAAATTTAAAAATCTCAAAAGATACTTAGTGTGGACTTCCATTTATATTTATAAAGTGTCAGATGAATGACCTGTAGCAGTGGGCAGCCCTTTGTTTGTTGATTATGGTGATTGTTGATGGCTGTGCATCAGCCAACATGTGTGTTGTCACATGTGGACAAACAAGTCCATATATAACTGTTGAAATCTGAATAAAGCTTATGGATGCTTGTTTTGAGGGATGCATCCTAGAAATATGCACTTTCCCTTTATGGAAAGAATTTGGTTAGAGAGTACACAGGGCCTCTGGCACTTTGTTTAATTATTATAAATTCCTATGAATCTGTTTAAATTATTTAAATGTAAAAAGGTAGCCCCAAGCTGGGCAAGGTGGCATGTGCCTTTAACCCCAATACTGGGAGACAGAGGCAGGTGGATCTCTGTGAGTTAGAGGATAGCCAGGGCCACACAGAGAAACCCTGTCTTGAAAATAAAAAAAAAAAAGTTAGTCCCACCAGAGGCAGGAGTTTTGTAGAACTATAGAAATGGAGGTCTGGGTTTTGATCAGGGACAGGAAAGTTTTGATTAAGTGTCATAGATTTTAAGATTTTCTAAGATAACATTAAATAGAAGTATTTAAATTTAAAGCAAAATATATATATATGTTTTGTGCTTCATTTTAGAAAGAAGAAGTAAACGAATGTGGTGAAAGTGTTGATAGAAACAATTTGAAACGGTCACAAAGCCATCTTCCTTACTTTGCTCCTAAACCACCTCCAGACAGTGCAGTTATCAAAGCTGGTTATTGTGTGAAACAAGGAGCAGTGGTGAGTAGCTAACTGAACCTGTGAAGTAGGGAAGGTTTATGTGCCAGCAAGCTTGCAAGTCAGAACGCAAGTTGTGTGCTTTGTTTTTGGAGAGACCCAGAGTGGAGGGCGGTCTGTTGCTGGGAAGGGCAGAGAGGGTTGTTCACACAGCACAGTTACTTCCTTGGTTTGGGCAGCTGGATAAGTTAATGCCTATGTCTACCAACATTTAGTCTAAGTGAACTTTCCTAAGTTTAGGTTTTTCTTTTTGTTTTGTTTAAAAACTTCAGTTTATGTATGTATGTGCATGATATGGACGAGGAAGGGGAGCATGAGCTTAATGTATTTGCTCTGAGATCAGAAGACAACTTTTTTCAGTTCTCTCCTTCCATCTTCACTTGGAACCCAACGTTCAGATTCAGGCAAGATTTACTTGTGGAGTCTTCTTAGCCCCCAGAAAGTTCTTCTATTGATTTCTCACACACTCAGGAATGGTCAGGTGTAGAGCTGTAGAAGTGGAGGAACCAGGAGTGGCTGCTGGTTTTAAGGTTGGGCTACTTAATCTCCCAGGCTTCCAGTTTTATTTTATGAGAAAGCTATTTTATAAAACTTATGTGGGTTTTGAAAGAGGTAAATGAGAGGTACAACTTTTGGCCCAGCTTCAGGTGCTAAGTAAGCATCACCAGTGAGTCCAGGTTGTCTCCATAGTCAGCAACATTGAAGAAGTTTCTACAAGACAAACAAATTTACCAGTTTTTGTTTTGTTTTGTTTTGTTTTTTTAAGACAGGGTTTCTCTGTGTAGCCTCGGCTGTCCTGGAACTCACTCTGTAGACCAGGCTGGGAACCGCCTGTCTATGCTCCCGAGTTCTGGGATTAAAGGTGTGTGCCACCAATGCCTGGCTTATTCACCACTTTTTCTAAGGTTCAAGCTATTTTACTGCCAGGTGCTTCGGTTCACACCTAAAATCCTAGCATTTAGGAAGCTGAGGAGAGACGATGGAAAATTCTAGGTTAGCTTGGGGTATATAGCAGGCTTGATGTTTATTTAATCACCTCTTCTAAAATTTATTCTCTATGAACTAAATCTTGAGACTCTCCAGAGGATATAAAGTTCAACATTTGAAAACAAAAGGAAAAAATGTGAATAAAGAAACACTTCAAATTCTTCTGGTAATTCTCCTTGACTCTTCTCCACTTTCTGGCAGCTGGAGAGGGAAATTTCTTCCTGCCTATTGGACCATTGGTCCCAGGGAGAGAGAGATGAGACCAAAGATAGGCTGTCTGTCGGTGGAGGCAGAATTTCTCCCAGGCTGTGAGGCTTAGTTGTAGGCTAATGAGGCTTTTAAGGAGGTAACCTTTATTCTTAAATCTAAAAAATAATTTATAGATTTTTCTTAATTTTAAAAAAGATTTCATTTTTATGTGTATTTTTATTTTATGTGTAAGTGTGTTTACTTGAATGTACATTTGTGTACCACATGTGTGTAGTTCTAGTGAAGGTCAGAAGAGGGTGCAAGATTCCCTTGGAACTGGACTTTGACACAGTTGTTACCTGCCATGCAGGTCCTAGGAATTGAGCCTTGGTTTTCTGGAAGAGCATTCTTAACCACTGAGCCATCTCTCCAACTATTTACAGATAATTTAGGGTATGAAAAAAATTTACAGGAGTATTTGTATAAAGGTGTATTAAACATTTTCTGTATGGGTTTGTTTTATTTTGTATTTATTGTGGACCTGTTAATATGTGAATACTTGAGAAAGGATTCATGCATGTTGTAGATAGAGAAACCTGATAGGTTAATGACATTTCTGGTGCTGATTTTTACCTTGTGGGCTGGGCCGCAAGAAGGGAATACCCCCCCCCCCCCCATCTCTGTTAGAGATCAAAATCTTGAAATACCAGAGTAATTAATAAACTCTGAGAGTGAGCTGCCCAAGGCCAAGGCCATCATTCCATCATTCAAGGCCTGGTTAGCAGGGAAAGATGCCATTTACTACCTCCTTTGGGAAGGGTGTGTTGTTTCTGAATACTTGGCATTTCTGATTGTGGGTTCATATTGGAACAATTACAGAGTGATGAACATTTGACATTCTTTGAAGCCTCTGTCTATGTTCTTCTCTGGTAGATGAAAAACTGGAAGAGAAGATATTTTCAGTTGGATGAAAACGCAATAGGCTACTTCAAATCTGAACTGGTATGCAGTTAAATATGCTTTCAAATGCTTGGCATTTGCATGCTTGTATGCTCTTCTGTTTTTGAATGTTCTAGTTCTGGTTTTGAGGGTACCTGTATTTCAGTCCTTTGGTTGTAATATATCTGGTTAATCACATATTTCTTAAATGTGTTTTAAATAAAACTGCAGTATCTTTAAGGAAGCATTCCATCTTGATGGATCTAAAATTATCAGAAACACCATATCTAAACTTCTCTCTGAGGGACATTGGAAGTGGTCATGTAGGAAATCCTCCGAAAGCAGCATCCAGCACTCTGCATGGCTGCCTTCTCTTCCTGCTTTTTCTAAGATTGCTTGTGTCCCGTTTCAGATCAACTCTTAAATTGTTTCACTTGAGATATCTTTGCCCTGTTCTGAAGGCAGTATCAAAGATTGAGTGTCCCTTCTTTCCTGTATGAGGAAAGCACTATTTAAGATTCAGGTAGCCTGAGTCTTACAGTAGATGAGTGTATAAATTAATGGAATTCTCTCCTTCATCTACCAAAGCATTGGACTTTTGTATACCCCATATTCTGTTTGAACAAAGGCATCAGAACAACGTTCAGACGAACTTTCTGCCCTGGTAGATGTGTTCCACACCTATGTTGTTCTGTGCAGGCTACATGTGATTTTTGAGTGCCGGTAATGTAGCCAGTGTGGTAAGGAGGTAAGTTTATTTCATTTTAAAATTAAAACCAATTTCATTTCACTTCAGTAATTTAAATGTATAGTTACTCATAGGCACTGGCTGGTGTATTGGGAATATTTTAAGAATTGTCTTAGCTGTCAGTTCTTTTAGAAAGCTGCTATGGGGTAAAGGACAGAAGCCACCTGCACAGCCTGGTGTAGAAAGGCAGAGCCATGTGTAATGAGGTGGCTGGCCTACCCAGCCTGAAGAACAGAGAGGAAGGAAGCACAGGAAGTGGGTAGTGACAGAGGTGAGAATGCTCACAACACATACTTGTTGATAACTGAGGAAATATATCAATGATAATACAAACCACGGCTCTTGGTTTAAAAGCGTGGCTTCTTGATATAACTTAGCAAACACAGAAGTGTGAGTGCATGTGAGTGTAAAACATACTGTAGCTCTGTATTTTGAGAAAATGATCATTTTCCCCCTAAAAGAAACCTGAACTCCATGGAGAATTGGTAAATTCTTTACCTGGGCAAGAGAAATAAATACAGGATGATCTGGACTATTTTGTCAGGAAGCAATAAACATTCTAAGGAAATACTGATCACCCAGAAGTCACTTCACAAATAGTCCCCTCACCAGATGATGACCAGTGAGAGTATCAAAATACATAATGATTTAAACAATTACAGCCATGTATTTATGTGCTCATATAGATGCGAATACATGACTGAGTGGTGACTGAGTTCATGTAACTACAGTGAGGGGCAAGATGCCTAGATAGGAATGAGACATCTATCTGTGAAATAAACAGTAAACACAGAGGGAAGAGAGCAGCTGTACAGTGAAGAAGCCTGGCAGACGCCACTTTCATCAGGCAGTCAAGTTCAACGAACTTCAGCGGTGTTGAGAATGCTGACAGCATCAGTTCTGTGCTGCTGCTGCTGCTGAAGGTAGATAGTCTTGAGTTTAATCACCAAGTGACAGTAGCCACATCCAAGGGTGGGGACAATCTACAAAATAAAGTAACTGCTGTGATCTGCAGAATTCCACATTACTCGTTCTAGAGGAGTGAGGAACTCTTCAATACTAAAGGAAAGAAAGACAGCGAGTGAGCATTCTCACACTGTAAGACAATGTAGATGCTACTTTCTCACTTTGGTGGCTATAACAAGGGACTTTAGGGCAGCACGCCTAGAATAGCAGCTCAGCCCTAAGTGACCATGTTCTTGGTCTTTTTTATAAATTCATGATTGTTTCAATGTTCAAAGAAGAAAAACAAGGTGAGATATCTGGTAGGAAACCAAACAAAATACAAACAACTTACTCAGAAAGAAACTGGGCTGAGTGTGGAGTTAAGTAGTAGCATGCATACTAGTGTATACAAGGCCCTGGGTTAGAACCTCAGCACTACTAAAGGTTAAAAATACCTAAAGTGGTCTTCAGAACTATGCGATGATGCTCAACGCTACTCAGGATTAGGGAAATGTATATGTGTGCTGTACAGACAGCACTCATCAATCACGAGGGGGCTATGAAGAGTGAAAAGATCATACATCTTCTGTCCCCAGAGAAAATAAGCGAAGAGATAGTGTTTCTTCAAATTCCCAGATTCATATGTATGTGAGTGATGTTAGAAAAATCACCATTTGGCAGGCAACTATGCTAGTAATGATTTCAGGTAAGAATCTTCAATATTTGGTAAAACTAGTGGGAAATTTTTGTTGGAAAATCAAGTACTACACCAAGAGTCTACCAAGTAATACACCAAGAGACTACCAAGAGTCTCAGTCATGACCAATGGTCCAGTCCACACCGTGCACATCCTGACAGGAATGGCTGAGAAGTAGTCGGCTGTTGTGGTGTCCTTCCAGAAGCATGTGGCCTGCACATCAGGATGAATAAACATCAGACAAACCCAGACTGGGACACAGTCTATGAAATAAGTGGCCCCAGTCATTTTACAGCTTTGCAAGATTACAGAAGACCAAAGAAGTAACTACTGTGAAATAAAGGAGACTAAGAGAAGGGACAGTGAAGCAAGTCTGCGGTAGACTGAACCTTAAGTCAGGAAATACGTCAGCTTGTCTTCTGCCATGGATACCCATGAGGTAACTTTTAAGATCAGAAGTTACAATCCATCCTATGTATGGATTGTGGTCATACTTTAAGGATGCCAAAGTTCTGGCTCCATAATTGTGCCATGTCTAAAGTAAAGTTTACTTTAGAAGTCAAAAATAAGTACCTAGTAGTATAGATGCGTCATCTCTTTAACTTGCCTGCAGCTATTCCTGAGCCGTGTACTCAGACAGGATTATAGCAAAGCTGGGCTTGCTACATAGTGCCATCTATGTCAAGATGACATTCCAAAAGAGGAAGTAGAGCACTTACTGGTCCTCATGGTCTACCACAACCAAGTCTGCTGCTTATTGAGTGACTGTCATTGAGACCAGAAATGGAGCTTCAGACAGCTGTGTGTATAAGGGCTTAAAACTGGAGTTGTCCTGCTGCTGCAGGTTTCAGAAGGTGGAGTTGTGCCTGAAATTGCCTTGACCTCCAAGTAAGATAACTAGCCTTTGAGATGAAATGTCTTGTGTCTGTTTGCTTTTTTTGCCAGGAAAAGGAACCTTTGCGGGTAATACCACTTAAAGAAGTTCATAAAGTCCAAGAGTGCAAGCAAAGGTAAGGACAGGACAGTATGAAGAATGGCACCTCCCCTCATGCATGAGCTTACATGTTCTTTGTTCTTGTGTAGATTTTGTTGTTAAGATTTACTTATTATGAATACAATGTTCTGCACACATGTATATCTGCATGCCAGATGAGGGCACCAGATCTCATTATAGAGCCACTGTGTGGTTGCTGGGAATTGAACTCAGGACCTCTCGAAGAGTAGCCAGTGCTCTAAACCTCTGAGCCATCTCTCCAGCCAGTCTTGTATGGATTTTTAACTGTGGTTAAGATATGCTGCATTTTTTTTTTCTTTAATCTGTAAAGTAATTTAACTTTTTATTTGAGAACTGAAAATTAGGAAGCAACTCATTTGTAAACTGACATTTCAAAAGTAGTTCATTAATGCAAAGGAAAAATTATTACAAGCAATTATTACAAGATTTAACAAATTGAGGTTGTAGTATTTTTAGTATTCAAAGGTGCTGCAGAATGCATTGTCACAAGGAGTTGCATTAACTTGTGCCATGATGAATTGAATGAACTTTGACTCTAAAGTTGCTTTATGAATCTTTTCTAAGTGAGCTGTGTAAAAGCATGTGAATTGTAAGGCAAACCTGGGAAATGATAATGTGGTTTGTTAGTTTTTTTTTCTTGTTAACATTTATTGACAAATACTTGGCACTGAGCAGACAGCTGGAAGGGAAACTGTCAAACTGATTTACAAACAACTGGATGATTGCTTTTTATAACAGTGACATAATGATGAGGGACAACCTGTTTGAAATTGTAACGACGTCTCGAACTTTTTATGTGCAGGTAAGACTTACTTAGAGATTATAGATTCTCTTACAAGAACGTAATGACATTTAGAGGTTAAATAAATATAAATAAAGCTTGTTGGTTTTAACCACTAATTTACCAGCTTGAAGGATATCAAGTAGTGGGTTGTTGGTGGGATATATGTTCAGAAATGGGAGTGTTCTGTTACGAATTAGTAAGATGAATCAAAGTCACATTTGGAAGAAGGGAAGTGCTTAGGTTTTTGCAGTGTGCCTTCAAATGTATTATCTTTTTGTGTTTTTCTTTAATACAATTTTTTGGTAATTTTTCTTAAAAGGATACTCTCAAGTATAAATGAAGCTATTGAAAAGAGCATTTGTGTTTGTTTATGAGAATTAATACATTTACTTCTTGCAGAAAAGCTAAGAAAACTATGGCTTATACAATACACATACTTTCACATTCAATCAGTGATCCTTACAGCAAGGTCATACTAAATGTATAAAATCTTGTTTGTGATCATATATTGTCATTTTTCCTCTGTCATTAAAAGTTCTTTGGAAACACCTGGGTTTAATTGGGATTAAAGGCATTCAGCAGGGAGAGGCTGGTGGGTTCTGGTGAATCCAAGGCCAGCCAGGGCTGTAGAATGAGATCCTGTCTAAAAAATTTTGTTTCTGGAAACATTTTAAGTTGCGTCACACTCTGTGTGTGGCTGCTCTGCAAGTTCTGTTCTTTTATGGCTAAATACTCATTTGCATAGTTTTCATGCATTTACTGTGAATGTATGATGATGGCGGCATCTCTGTGAAAAATTTGGCCTGAATTTCTGATTTCTTTAGGATGTTTCTAGGTCAAGTTTAACCATCAGAACTGTCTTTCTATTTTGTTACATTGGCTTTGATCATTGTGCTCTTACTAGTGCTGAATGAAAGTGTACTCTGCCCTGTTCCTGCTCTGAGTTCTACCTTTTGAAAAATGCTCCTTGGCGTTATTGGCATTTGATAGATTCTGAGAGAGGGGGAGTTAGTTTTCTTTAGTGGTATGACCTTTGGTAAGCTAACCACATAACAGAACAGGCCCCACTTTTAAGATTAGCTGTGCAACGCAAACTGGGTTTGGTGGAGAAAAGGTTTGGTGAGGGGAGAAATCTCAAAGTTGAGTGGGAAGGTATAGGAGAATAGAGAGGAAGAACTCAGAGGAGGGTGTAGATATGTTCAAAGTACACTGTATGAAATTCATAGTTAATAAAATATTGCTAACAACCACAAAATTCAACATACAGTATTCAAAGTACATAGAAAAAACATAACCTAAAAATTTGAAATAAATGGGGAAAATTGTTTTGCCACAATAAAGCAAGTAATCATCTTTTTTCTTTTTTAACATGTTAGTGGTTGAAAAACATTTTATATTTTGCCCTGTTGGAAATTGTAGAGTCTACAATCTAATTTTGAATGTACTTCTCAAGGAGTGAGGGCTTCTAAAATGACAGAAGTAAGAAGGTATATATTGGCTCCCTTCTCAGCCTCATGCTGTGGCCATATCCCTCTGAATATGCTGATCTCATAATATTTAAATTCGCACTGTCTGGTATTTATCAAGAAAGAGGACTACCTCTGAATATGACTACCAGTGTTTCTTTAATTCACTGTCCTGTTAGAAATCATTTCTGCAATTAATATGTATGATGATGCCAGAATGACTGTAATAGTGTCAGTTACACATATAGCAAGTTTAGACTGTAGCATTTGACAGTGAAGTACCTTTTTTGGTTTCTTCCTCTTAATTCCTTTCTACAAACATTCATTGATTTATCTGATCTTAAATACGCAGTAGCTATGTTATGTCTCCATATAGTACTTTGCTCAGAAATACCTGGGTTGAAAATAGTGCTTCTAGAGTCAGGCTTGGTACCATATACCTGTTATCTCAACTACTCGAAAGGCTAAAGCAGGAGGTTCAAGGGTAACCTGGTGAAAGAGTGGATTGAAGGCCAGCCTGAGCAATTTAGTGTGACTCAGTGTCAAAACTAAAACACAAATTTAAAAGTGAAATAAAGGCTCAGTGGCTGTTTTCCTCAACTATGTGAGTATTTTGGTTCAGTTTCCCAATAACTAAACATGCTCACCAAAGAAAGGTGCTTTCAGGAGTTGGAAAGAACTTAAGAACACTTGCTGCGCTTACAGAGGACCCAAGTTTGTTTTCCAGTATCCATGTTGAATAGCTCACAACTGCCTGTAACGACACCTCCAATGTTTTGAGTGTTTTGAAGCTAAATGTGGTGGCACACACCTTTAATACCAGCACTCAGGAGACAGAGACAGACAGATGACAGGCAGATCTAGAGTTCCAGAATAGCCAGGGATATGCAGAGAAACCCTGTCTCTTAAAACAAAACAAAAACAAATTAATAAAAGTGCTTTGAAAACTGTGTGTGTGTGTGTGTGTGTGTGTGTGTGTGTGTGTGCGTGTGTGTGCGCGCGCGTGCGTGCGTGCGTGCATGCATGTGCAGGTGACATTATATTACCAAGGTATGAAATTTATGCAAATAGGTGATTTTGAGAAAAAGTTGACTGAAAATTTCCTTTTATTTTTTTTTAGGCTGATAGCCCTGAAGAGATGCACAGTTGGATTAAAGCAGTCTCGGGCGCCATCGTAGCACAGCGGGGACCTGGCAGATCAGCATCTTCTGTAGGTTTTCTTCTTCTTGGGGAGAAACTCTACAGGGCCTGCATCCTTTGAAGTTGTTTTCTTCCTTTCCCCTAATCCTTCAGTTTCTTTGTTGAGATTATTTGCATGTTGACTTTCATACCAATTGAACTTGCAAAATAATGCACCCTAATTCAGCTTCCTTGTAGTGTCACGTGTACATAACTTTCTGTGTACATTGTGTTAATGCACAAGCTGGGCAGCTAAAGAATAGAGCCTTCCTTCCTATGTTCTTGCAGTTAGGGTCTTGTTAGTAGCTCTAGATGAAGAAATTTGACACTCTTGGTGTGACATTGGCCTGACCATTCAAAACGTTTTCAGTTCTACCAAAACATTGTCTTGTGACATTTTAGTTTCCCCTTTACTTACAATTTTCAATTAAGAATTATTTTCCTTAATGGTGTTGGAATACCACTGGCCAGCCTAGAGTCTGATATACAGTTTTGTGTTCCCATTCACTTTTTTTCTATTTCATGTTGTTACTTTAATTTTCTAGCCGGTTGATAATAAACGTTTGTTATCTTTGCTGTAGTTTGATAGTAACATTGGAACAACTAAAGGCTGTGCTCAGACATAGCAAGAGAAATGCTTGTTCATCTTGTTCAAGTAAATCCCAAGAAACAGTTTTGGAATACTTGGCCATTCATCTCTGCTCTGAAAATGCAAACCCTTTTAAGAAATTACATCTTAAAAGTAGCACTGCTGCCAACTGTCCTGGTGTGCCGCACCATAGCGTTTATGATGTAGATTCTGTATATCTTTGATACCTTGTACTTCCAGTATTCTTCCTGGTAGTAGTACTCTCTTTTACTAGTCTTCTGGGACAGAGCAGTAGATAATACTCCACTTTTCTCATTCCTTAATCATTTATCATTATACTAGTATTCCTTTAGGAATATCCAAGAAATCTCTTTTATGGGTATTAGTTTTATAACTGCCTGCATTTTATGTGACTTTGAATAGTCATGTATGAGATTCTCTGCAAAAACAGTGTCTGTTGGGAAGAGGGAAAGTTGGAGGAGGGTGTTTGTGTTCTGTGCTTTGTGGTGGGGGCAAATCAGACTGTCCAGCTGTGACTATCAGCAGACTTCTCTCTTTTCCTTCCCCTTCCAATATAGGTTAACTCTAATCTTAGCTTTGCACTGTGTTCCAGATGCGGCAGGCCAGAAGGCTGTCGAACCCTTGTATACAGAGGTATACATCAAGAGCTGGTGAATGCAGCACGTATGTGGGCTCTCATGCAAATGTGCCTTCTTAGTAGAGGGCCTGGACTCGCTCCTCCTTACAGCTGATCATAGAAGGTTGAGTTAACCCGACTGCCTTTTGCAGTTGTCATCACTAACGCAAACTATTTTACTGTAGTCATCAGGTTGAATATGTATAGTTAAAAAAAGACAAAAGCAGCCATACTAATGGAAGCTTCCAGAACTTCAGAAACTAACTGACTGAATTGCTGCAAGAATTTTGATTTTCATGTTTTATATATTTTGAGGTTGTTTTTTTTTAAATTCTACAACATTTGAAATGTGCTTTTGTACTGATCAAGGCAAACTTCTGTACACGTCCACATTGGATAAATTATGTCACCAGAATTACATGGCATTTTATAGCTCTGGTGAAGTTTACCATGTAATGGGAGCCTGATGCTTGCTGATTGTGGTGCTGTTTTCAAAGCAGCTAGTGTCCTAAATGAGTGCACAGCAGGACCACAGTGTCTACAGATTTGTTCTGAGGAGTACAATAAAGTCAGTATTTATAGCTGATCTTACTTCAGTAGTTTTAAAAGTGATTCAGTTGTGCCCTTTCTTACTTTTAACATCTTAAAACATACAAGTGTGTGACTTACCCAAAATAAGCAGAATTAAATCAATAGAAGCAAAAACAAAACAAAAATACAAGTTGTCAGAGCACTAGACAAAAATCATGTCTGAAAAGTCTTGATTTTTGTTGATTAATCTGTGGCCTTTTGTTTTTATGTTTTACATTTATCTTTTTAAATATTTGGGATAATCCATATAACTCTTAAATAAATGCTGGTAGACTCTTCTTTCAATAAAATTCAGTTGCAGTTGGAACACCATATCTTATTTTAGGGCTGGCTAGGCCATCAAAGTGCCATAAGCTGCCAAATTCAGCTTTGGGGCAGATTAGTTTCTTAGTGGAATTGGTTGTTGCCTATCATTGCTTTAAACTCACCCCTAAAATGCATTGCTTTGGGAAGGAACTTGCACATTTACGCTGCATGGCTCATGCTTCTGCTTTGTGTGTGTGTGTGTGTGTGTGTGTTGTTTGTTTTTCAGAGAATCAAGTCTCACATTGAGTGACTGACTAACTTTGTTGTTGGTGATTGGCAGCGTCTGACCACCATTCCTTTTTCCAGGAGCATTCCGGCTGTCATTCAGAATCCAAATACATTGTCCGTCCTGCCGGGGCAGCAGCAGCCACCTCACATTCCCCAGCCTCTCGCAGCCACTCTTTGGTCTCAAGCTATACCATGGAGAAGCGAGGATTTTACGAATCTCTTGCCAAGGTCAAGCCAGGGAACTTCAAGGTCCAGACTGTCTCTCCAAGAGAACCAGCTCCCAAAGTGACTGCCCAAGCTCTGCTCAGACCTCAAAGTAAAAACGGCCCTCAGGGAAAAGATGGTGAGCCAGTGGACTTAGATGACGCCAGCCTGCCAGTCAGTGATGTGTAAGGTGGGACATGTGGTCTGCCTGCCCGCTCACCCCTCAGTGTCCTTTCATGAGGCTTCCAGCCAAAGATGACAGAGGTGAATGATTCATGCATATACTAATACTGCCTCTTGGGTGCACTCTGTACGCTGGCAAACCAAGAATCTAAGGAGTGGCCAAGTTAAGAAAGGAAGAAAAAAGCTACGTCCGTATTGACTGTCTGAAGCTTTATATGTATGGGTGGTAGAAATGTGTGTGATTTTTTTTTTTTTCCTGTTGACTTTGAAATTTTAAATAACAATTTAAAACATTAAAATTACTTTAAAAAATGGTAATATGACTCCCTATGAAATATTCAATATTTACACATTCCTGTCAGCTAACATTATCAAATGGGACATTGCCAGACAAAAAATTCCCAATCTCATGATGTCTGTGGTGCTGCAAAATTTATTGTAATGTGGACTGTTTAGAAATTCTAACCATTTTTGATATTCTGGTTATTCAGGTGAGTGGCAAATTTTGCATAAAAAATTCTATTAGACTGTTGGTACAGCTGGGGGCGTAACAGGGGTAGCAAAAGGGAGAGATTGGAGTTCAGCTATAACTAAGATTGTTTTTTTGTTTGTTTGTTTTGGAGACAGGTTTTCTCTGTGTGGCCATGGCTGCCCTAGAACTTGCTTTGTAGACCGACCGGGCTGCCCTTGAACTTGTGATTCTACTGCCTTTATTGCCTCGCAAATTATAGGCCTGTGTCACTAACATGCAGCCTGAGACACTTATTTTAAAAGGCTTAAGACCTGCACCTATCAGTATTTTATTTCAGTAAAAATTATTTGGTCATAAATGTTGGGAATATCTGATTTTTTTAAATCAAAATTTGTAAATAGATCTTATTTCTGAATTTGGATCAGTGAAAGACCTCCGTTCTTATGTGAAGTCATAACTGCCCTTATTCATGAAATTGTTGTGGCCTCTACCTTTCCATCATTAATAACCTGTTCAAGTGCCTGTGTTTTCTCATCTCATTTAGGATTGTTCTCTGAAGTCCTACATGATTGGCTTTAAATGTTTGAATAAATTAATTTCAGTAGCATAGTTTGATATATTAAATAAGATAGCATTTAATGTCAGAGACACCAGAATGTTGGTGTTCTACTACCTGTGCAATATTAATGTCTTGAAAAGCAAATGAGTATGCATTTAACTGTGGGGATATCATAAATAGAAGCACCTCTCTAAAGAACCCAGTTTCTGCTGTTGAATGAAAGAATGGCTTGAGCGAGTGCTGTTTTGTGGCTGTTTGCTTTCCCCAGGCTGCTGCTCTATGATATTTCCAATTTCACACTTTTGTTTTGGAGTCATGGATGTTAGTGTTTTGCCTTTTTTGTTCTAAGACTACTTGTTAGAGGAGGAGGAATTTGCTGCAGTGGTGGGGTTTAGGGGTTAAGATGTGCTCTTTAGTTGCCCAGCACAAGAAAACACCATTCACCTTTTGTATTCATAAGCTAATATGTTAGAGTTCTGTGAGGTTTTCTTTTTGCACCTGCATTAGAAAACCCTAGGACAACAAGGTATTTAAGCAGTAAGTACCCTTCTGCTGCCATGTTCATTACCCAGGCTCTTTTGGAAGTTCCTTTTTCATGAACATACCTAGGAACCCTTGTATAGACACTTGGCAGCATTGATGAGCCTGGCACTGTTTTCTTTGGTACAGCATCCACAGTGCACGTTCATTTTAG